GAACTGCTCACTGAGAACATTTGTTCCCTTTTTTGTACAGTTTATTTCCATTCCAAACAGAGCTACCGTGAGAAATAAAGCCAAATCCTTGCTCCGACACCATTCACCAAGCCACAATTTAAAGTCCCGAATATGCATCCGCCTGTCGTTCTGAGTGTTATGTACAGGCAGAACTTCAGAGAATGACAGTGTGGAAGCAACCTGCCGTATATCATTGGCAAAAACACTAAAAACTTCCTTAACCTCTGAAACCTCATTGTAAGCCAAGTTATTTGTCCCTAGATGGACAAGTGCATCCAATTCCCCTTCCTGCTTTGCTTGCTTAACAATATTACAAATACGTCTCCTGTCTCTGTGAGCAGTAGCTCCGAGAAGACACCTCACAAGACCACCATTGTCCATCTCCAAACCTTTTATGATGGAATCCCCCAACAACAACTGCTTTCTATTAGGCCTCACCATAGAAACATAGAATAGAAACATAGAATGTGACGGCAGATAAGAACCATTCGGCCCATCTAGTCTGCCCAATTTTCTAAATACTTTCATTAGTCTTATAGTTAGGATAGCCTTATGCCTATCCTAAGCATGCTTAAACTCCCTTACTGTGTTAACCTCTACCACGTCAGCTGGAAGGCTATTCCATGCATCCACTACCCGCTCAGTAAAGTAATATTTCCTGATATTACTTTTAAACCTTTGTCCCTCTAATTTAAGACTATGTCCTCTTGTTGTGGTAGTTTTTCTTCTTTTAAATATAGTCTCCTCCTTTACTGTGTTGATTCCCTTTATATATTTAAATGTTTCTATCATATCCCCCCTGTCTCGTCTTTCCTCCAAGCTATACATGTTAAGATCCTTTAACCTTTCCTGGTAAGTTTTATCCCGCAATCCATGAACCAGTTTAGTAGCCCTTCTCTGAACCCTCTCTAAGGTATCAATATCCTTCTGAAGATACGGTCTCCAGTACTGTGTACAATACTCCAAGTGAGGTCTCACCAGTGTTCTGTACAATGGCATGAGGACTTCCCTCTTTCTACTGCTAATACCTCTCCCTATACAACCAAGCATTCTGCTAGCATTTCCTGCTGCTCTATTACATTGTCTGCCTACCTTTAAGTCATCAGAAATAATCACCCCTAAATCCCTTTCCTCATATGTTGAGGTTAGGACTCTATCAAATATTCTGTACTCTGCCCTTGGGTTTTTACGTCCAAGATGCATAATCTTGCACTTATCCACATTAAATGTCAGTTGCCACAATTCTGACCATTTTTCTAGTTTACCTAAATCATTTGCCATTTGGCTTATCCCTCCTGGAACATCAACCCTGTTACATATCTTAGTATCATCAGCAAAATGACATACCCCTTACCATCAAGACCTTCTGCAATATCACTAATAAAAATATTAAAGAGAATGGGTCCAAGTACAGATCCCTGAGGTACCCCACTGGTGACAAGTCCAAACTTCGAATATATTCCATTAACTACAACCCTTTGTTGCCTGTCACTCAGCCACTGCCTTACCCATTCAACAATATTGGAATCCAAACTTAAAGATTGCAGTTTATTGATAAGCCTTCTATGTGCAACAGTGTCAAAAGCCCCTATTTTTGAGTTTCCCTTTTCCAGCTTCCTCCCTTTTTTGGTATTTATTTCTATTTTTAAAAACTAGCTTCAATGCATGAAGTGACCCAGGGCATCCCTCTGTAGTGCCTATTCACAAGTTAAGTGTCCAGCTTCTCAGCCCATTCTTCATAGTGCTGTTTGGATAAAAAGTAGGAAAATCCCAATATTTTATGTAATGCTATACTGTTTAACCTATATTTGTAATTTGCCTAATAGTTTTTATATTTTTAATTTTATTTCAGAAGGCTGATCTCAACATGCTTCCTTTTGCATAATCTAGATGAATGTTTTATTCTGTTTCTATGTAAGCAAAGAACCTATCATTGAAGATTGTCTTATACCGCACGGTAATAGATTTATTACATTTATACTTCTCACAGCTTAAATATAACATCAACGTGACAAAATAATCCCAACAATTCACCGTTCAGCATTGTGTGTGAAACAAACACTAAAAAATAAGGCGTCACAGGGGAAAATATTCTAAAGCACAGATTAATACTGTGTTCTACCGCGCAGAGCTTGAGTTACCGGCATTGGCTACAGTCTCAGTACTTAGCATTCTCACCACAAAAGCTAATAAATCTATCACTTTAAATTTCTTGGCTGAGCTGTTTATCTTTTTATTAGTTTTGTCAGATCTGACTTATTTCAACTTAACTCAAATCACATCTCGATGTCACTCATAATTAAACAAAACCCATAGTCTTGTTTAGACTTTTAACCAGCTATTTAATATCATAATTAAGGATTTATGCAAAGGTTCAATGGTTTACAATAGAAGATATTAGCTTTTGCACCTCAAATTAAATGTAAATAGATAAATTCATCGGCATTTCATTTACTTGTAATCCCCTCATGAATGGTCTTAAAGGACCACTCTAGGCACCCAGACCACTTCAGCTTAATTAAGTGGTCTGGGTGCCAGGTCCTTCTAGGGTTAACCCATTTTTTTTATAAACATAGCAGTTTCAGAGAAACTGCTATGTTTATCAATGGGTTAAGCCTTCCCCTATTTCTAGTGGCTGTCTCATTGACAGCGCTATGCTTCTCACTGTGATTTTCACAGTGAGAGCATAAGCGTCCATAGGAAAGCATTGTAAATGCTTTCCTATGCGACGGGAATGCGCGCGCAGCTCTTGCCGCGCGTGCGCATTCAGCCCAGGAGGAGGAACGGAGGAGGATCGGAGGAGGAGAGCTCTCCGCCCAGCACTGGAAAAAGGTAAGTTTTTACCCCTTTCCCCCTTCCAGAGCCGGGCGGGAGGGGGTCCGTGAGGGTGGGGGCACCCTCAGGGCACTATAGTGCCAGGAAAACGAGTATGTTTTCCTGGCACTATAGTGGTCCTTTAAGTTTTCCAGAAGAGCCAGTTTACCTTAAATAATGTGTTTAAGACAGTTTGATTCTTGTAGTAATGTACTCTTGTGGCTGAGTTTGCAGTTTTCCAAACATTAAAAACAATCGCTGATTAACATCCAATTTAGTTGTGTTTAAAAAAAAAAAAATATATATATATATATAATCCTGTGATGAGCAATTTATGGTATTGAAAGATAATTATTTCACTGAGAAATCATATATTTTGATTTTTTTTCTCCTGTGGATAGAGGCAATACATATATTCCCTAAGGTCTGTACTGCCTCTAATCCTGTGAAAAAAAGACATTTACGGTAAGTCAAATTTATGTTTTCCCCAAGGCTTTTTATACCTTTTATAAAATATCACTCTGGTGGAAGATTCATGACTTTGAGTCACAAAGCCTACGGTAGTGCCCCCATGAGCACTGTTATGGAGGCCACTGTGCCAGTAGTCAGTGTTTTCTATACTGGCCCACCCCTAATACTAATAATATGCTAAAGTTACTTCCCATTGCTCCAGATATCTTTAACCCTTGTAGGCCCCATAGCAACTAAGGCTACCAAATGCAGGTTAAAGGACCACTCTGGGCACCCAGACCACTTCAGCTTCATGAAGTGGTCTGGGTGCCAGGTCCAGCTAGGGTTAACCCATTTTTTCATAAAAATAGCAGTTTCAGAGAAACTGCTATGTTTGTGAATGGGTTAAGCCTTCCCCTATTTCCTCTAGTGGCTGTCTCATTGACAGCCACTAGAGGCGCTTGCGTGCTTCTCACTGTGATTTTCACAGTGAGAGCACGCCAGCGTCCATAGGAAAGCATTATGAATGCTTTCCTATGTGACCGGCTGAATGCGCGCGCAGCTCTTGCCGTGCGTGCGCATTCAGCCACATGGGAGGAGAAGAGGAGGATTGGAGGAGGAGAGCTCTCCGCCCAGCGCGGAAAAAGGTAAGTTTTAACCCCTTTCCCCTTTCCAGAGCCGGGCAGGAGGGGGACCCTGAGGGTGGGGGCACCCTCAGGGCACTATAGTGCCAGGAAAACGAGTATGTTTTCCTGGCACTATAGTGGTCCTTTAACCTCCACACTCATAGGGAGTCACAGACTCAGACCAACCCCAAAATTGCTGGATTGAAACACAGATTCATCAAGAGCCTGAATCGAAAAGCTATTGCACGGATTTAATATATAAAAAAATATAATGCACATAAAACATATAAATAACCCAAACACATCCAATAAAATCTGAATTATATGAAATATCTACCTTGTGTTCACATGCCACCCCACATCGGAATCCATGATTTGTACTTTTTTTTTTTTATCAAGGTCCTGGACAAACAGCTTCAGAAGTATCTGGAAAATGACAATACAGGCCCCCAGCCTATATATTATGTAGTAACTAGTAAGATTTAGACATTATCTAAAATTACACACATTGATAGTTATCCCTGTTAAGTTATTAACATCTTCAATTTTAAATTCATTTGTTATCTTATTGATTTAATTGAGTAATTGTTTTAATAATGCAATATAATTTCCAAGTATCACTTAAATTACAATTCTTAGATAATATAACTTGTAGTCTTTGAAATAATTGTCAATAACATGTCCAAGTGCTTCCAAACAGGTGGACAATTTGTTGAACAATCGGCGTCACATACCATAAGTTTAAATACTAATTTGAAAGTGGGCATGGTACGTTTTAACTGCTTTTATTTTTTTTCCCAACTTAATTTTTTCTTCAAGTCACAGTGAATTAATTCGTTGTACAGTTCTATTGATGAACAAGTCACAAAAGTATTTGAATATCCTTTTTGACAAACACATCATAAAACATGGCTATAGTAAAATCCACAAAGAGCTGTATGTTGTCTTTTTATTATTCCATTTTGAAAAACCATTCTAAGATAAAGAGGGGGAAGAAATGAGAGTTGACCTATTTAATCTACCAAGGGGTTTAATCCACCAAGGGGTTAGATACTCAATACTTCAGATTTCACAAAATTAAACTAATGCCTCATTAACTTCTTTTGCATAGTTTCCTTAATTAGATGCTTCTCTCTACAGAGAGGTTGTAGTCACTGCAAGAAAATTAATGCCTGGCAGTATACTGGGCTACTGAATTGCATGATTATTTGCCAAGAAGTGTGCAACATTTAAATGATTATAAGCACATGAAGATGTCATGATCAAGAGCTTAGCAGGAAATATAGGAAAGTGAGAAAGTGATGCTAAGATTAACTATCATATCTTTGGCATTCTTTATATTTACAAAGCTATGTGTACATGCGGTTTCATTGGCAAAGCCATTGTAATAAATACAAAGAATGCACAACTTAAAAAACAAGTACATCAAAATGTGTAGGCAACATACCACAGATTATTTTTTTAAAGAAATCACAAGTAGCAACAGAAGGAGCATGAGCATTGAGTGACTTGTATACCCTTCCTGAGGCGTAAACAATAGTTGGAGTAACTGACTTAACATTGCAGGGTCAAGCAGTGGAGCCTACGTACTGTTGGAAATAATAAATCAAACAACTAAAAATGAGGAGTGAGGGGTACTTTCACCCCTCTAGGGTCAGACTTATATTAAGATAAATGACCGGGATGCCTTGAGGTGGGGGGATATAAAGGCACAAGTACTATTCGGTCTGTATTAAAGAATTAAGCAAACAGTCAATTAACTAAACAAGAAAATAGCACAGTGAAAAGAAGAGATTAAGAAAACACTATGGAGCCCATGGGAGCCCGAGCAATACTCATAGCAGTCTACAGGTTCAGGTAGTGACTGCAGCGTATAGGTCCGATTTGGACTGTTTTGGAATGAAATTGGTGGCTTGTGCAGGATCCCAGGAGTGTGTTTCCTCTGGGGCTGCAGTTGGTTGATTCTGGGCTAAGGAATTCGGTGGAAGTCCCAGTGTCTGCAGGAAAGTAGTCACGTTCTGTAGGTCTTGAATGGAGTGCATTGATTCTCCATGGAGAATGATGAGTCTCCCATTTTCAGTTTATTCTCGTCTTCTACTTGGGGCTGGGGTTCTTGGAGATTGACAGCAAGATGATTAGTGGGCATTCTTTCTGTATTGGCGCTGCAACGGCGGCCTCTAGGCTTGGTATGCCGGCACAGGTGGTTCAGATGTTCAGAAGATGGGAGTCTAGGCATTTTGTCTCCTATTGGAAAAAGAGAAAAAAAACGAGAAAAAAAACCAGCGCTAAATTGCCACAATAAAATTATAAGAAAGGCAGCAATCCTCAAAGGGGAGTCCCCAATAATCCCCTAATGATAACAGATAGCAAGAACAAACATAGATATAAGGATGCGCCTAAAACTTGATAAAATAAAAGACTAAATTAGTCAGATAAAATACAGAATAAAATAAGTAATAAAACAATAGTCCAATAAAATAGGCTTATCACAGTCCGTGAGGGTAGGTCCCACTTGTAAAGGAATATTCTTTAGGGTGTAGGTGGGATCGTATCTTCAAATGTTGAGAATTCAGCATATGTGGAGAGAAAAATAAAAACAGGACTCCAATGGCACAGTAAATCGGTGTATAAAATAAATATAAAGGTAAAAAACAGTCTTACTCACACTTTTCAGAGCTAGGATCAGCTCTGATATTGCTCGCGTAAAGTGGAATAATCCCCACTTCAAGGATATATGGAGTAAATTTTGATTGTTGAATATCTGACGTGGGTTCAGCGTTCAATTTGACGTAATACGACCCAGAGGAAAAAATTAAATATAATTTATAGTGCTCACTGTATGTAATAAAATTAAAAGAAAGTAAAGTATACTACTCACGTAAAGTAGAGCAGACTCAAAACTGCTCAGTGAAGGCGCTCAGGTGGTATAATCCCCACCTATGGATTCTTTGCACTTCCTGCAGGGTGAGCCGTATACGTAAAAGCAATAAAAGAAAATGTATGTAAAATCAGGTAAAGGAAAAAGCAAATGGCAATAAAGTATTTTATGCCAATAAAATATCTTTATTATAGAGTTAAGAACAAAATCTATTAATATCTAAACGCGTTTCGCCTTAACAGGCTTCTTCAAGTACTTGAAGAAAGTATCTACTTGAAGAAGCCTGTTAAGGCGAAACACGTTTAGATATTAATAGATTTTGTTGAAGAAGGAAAGCATGATCAACGGTGTCAAAGGCAGCAGATAGGTCAAGAAAAATTAGTATGGAGTAGTGGCCTTTGGATTTAGCTGTGATTAGGTTGTTAGTAACTTTGATAAAAGCAGTCTCAGTACAATGGAGAGTGCGGAAGCCAGATTGAAGAGGGTCAAGGAGAGAGTTGGAATTGAGGAAGTGGGACATATGGGTAAAGACAAGTCTTTCCAGAAGCTTTGAGGAAAAAGGGAGCAGGGATATGGGACGATAGTTAGAGGGGGAGGATGGGTCAAGAGATAGTATTTTTCAGGATAGGTACTGCAATGGTATGTTCAGCAGGGACAACTCCAGAGGAGAGAGAGCAGTTGAAGATGTATGTTAAGGAAGGCACAAGAGAAGAGAGATCTGATAAGGTGAGATGGGACAAGATTGAGCAGGCAAGTGGTGGAGTGAGAGGAAAGGAGAAGCGCAGCCACCTCTTGTCAGGAGCCGGGAAGAAAGTCTATGTTAGGTTGAGAAAGAGAACGGCAATGTGGGAAGAATTCTTTCCTTAGCTGTTCAATCTTGTAGATAAAGAAGCATGCAAATCTATCAACTGGTGTAGTTTGGGGGGTGGCCACAGCAGGGCAAAGAAGAGAGTTAAAGGTGTCAAAGAGACATCTGGGATTACGGTAGGAAAAAACTAATGAGAGAGGAAAAGTATGACTGTTTGGCGAGGGCAAGGGCTGCGCTGTATGAACACAATATGAATCTATAATGGAGATAGTCTGCCTGAGTGCAAGACTTCCTCCAGGAGCGTTCAGCACAATGGGAGCATTTTTGGGTTGTGGGTAAGTTGAAGACCACCAAAGGATAAAGATGCAGGGGTGGCAGTGTACAGCCAAGTAAATCTAGGGAATGAGAAATGAAGAAGTTGTGGACAGCAGTGGATTTTGTAATATTGCAAACAGAGCGTGCATTCCAGAGGGCAGTATTGAAGGAGGATTTAGAGGAAGAGTAACATGAGATGGGTATGAAATTGGTGTGGTTACTTGAGTTAGTAGGTGGTGGGTTTGCTGAGATGGGACTGGGATTTGGAGAGACATCACCAGCTGCTAGGAGCAGAAGGATAGAGAGGAAGTGAAGGTGGGAGTAGGATTTGAAAGTTTTGCAGGAGGGTATGTATATAAAGGATTTGGGAGGAGTTGGAGATGATAGGCTGGAAATGTATATGTAGAGTGCATGGGAGGAAGAGAGAGGGGAGGAGAGGAAAGTGGAAGTAATGAAGATGGTGTTGCCAGGGACAGGTGAGCAGAAGGATAGGGATATTTTAGTAATGAGAGAAGTTAGTGTGAAAGTAAAAAAAAATCGAAGAGAGAACATTATTTAGAGAAAAGGTGTTTTGTTATATAGATATGAAGATTATACATATGCACATATATAATCATAAACATAATCATAAATCATAAACATATATATACACACATATACCTATGAGTGTTTAAACCAAGGTTAAGGATGCAGTTTGTTAACAGAGGGATTTCAGGTGAGGAGAGGTTTAGTTACTTGATTGGTGTGTTTTGAAAACCTGCTGATCTGCACAATCTATAAGTAAGATAATGACCATTGGGTGTGGTACTGCGGGGAGGGGAGGGAGACTTCCAGTGATGATACCTCTGGTTAGGCTTTTCTGCAGTGCTTGGTTGCTTGTGAATACTGGGTGTTGCTAATCGATGCTGTTATTTAGGACCCAGTCTGAAATATAAGGTCTGGGGTTAGAAGAAAGAATTAGAGATGAAAAACCAGAAGATATAACATTTGGGATGAAAAGATATGAAGGATCAGATAGGTGAAAGTCATAAACACTGAACATAAATTTACAAGACTATCAGTGAAAAAAGTAACACTAGCTAAACAAACAAATAACAAAAAAGTCAAAGAATGAACATAAAATAACAAGACTATAAATGCACCAACTTTAAAAAAAACAGAAGATCAGGATGGGAGATATAATAGTTATCAATTAAGTAGTGAGAAAATAGGGAAGGAGGTAGAATAGAACACAATTTTAAATCAAGAAATAAAGGGAAACAATAAGTAGTACATGTAATTCTTGGATAGATCTTCCAGAGATGATACCTCTGCTTAGACTTTTCTGCAGTGCTTGCTTATTATTATTTTATTATTTATATAGCGCCAGCAAATTCCGTAGCGCTGTTTTTGAAGGAGTGGAGACTGGGTGAAAGTCTAACGGAGAAGGGAAGGGAATTCCACAGAAAAGGTGCAGCCCTGGAGAAGTCTTGGAGGCTAGCATCAGATGTGGGAGTACGGACAGAGGATAGATGTAGGTCTTAGCCAGAGCCCAGGGGCCTCGTCATGACATACTTGTGTATTAGGGAGGATAGGTAGGTTCGAGCAGCATTATGTAGTGACTTGTAAGCAAGCACCACTAACTTAAATTAAGCCCTATATCTAACTGAAAGCCAATGTAAGGACTGACAGAGCGGGAAGGCGTGGGAGGTGCGGGCGGACAGGAAAATGAGCCTCGCCGTCACATTCATTATACATTGCAGTGGTGTAGTCTGGGAACACGTAAGACCACTAAGAAAGGGGATTGCAGTAGTCAAGGCGAGAAAGAACAACAGCATGGACCAGCACCAGCTGTGTCTGGTTTAAGTAATGGTGGATGCGAACTATGTTTTTGAGATGGAAGCGGCAAGATTTGGCGATCGACTGGACATGAGGGGTGAAGGAGAGGTCGAAGTCAAAGAGGACACCTAGGCAGCGAGCCTGCAAGGTAGAGGTGATGGTGGCGCTGTTGACTTGGAGGGAGACAGATACGGGAGTAGCAACACTTGAGGGAGGAAAGACCAGAAGTTCTGTTTTGGTTGCTTGTGAGTACTGGGTGTTGCTAATCAATGCTGTTATTTGGGGCCCAGTATGTAGTAGTATCATTCTGTCTGCTCCAGGAAATAGAAATAAGAAAATTATGTTGCTTTGGACTCCAAAAGATGCTTGCAAGCTTGCTAAACTGGAACTTATAAAGCATTAGTGGAAATATACATGGACAGGTTAGCAAGACTGCTGAGTGGGTAAATGGATTAGCAATATCTTTTAGCAAGTGGCTGACACATAATTATTTAGGGACAGATGCCAACTCTTGATTCACAATTAATGGTTCTGAACCTGATGACTCCACTTGAATTCTCTTTGAGTGATTTCTGTACGTGAACATTCCAATAAACATTTCACTAATTGCAATCACAGATAAAGTATTGCAAATCTTCTGGTCACATGGACACCCACTCATGACAGATGTAACTATCAGACAATGGATAGCTGAGTTACTCACTGATCAGAGAAACCAGCAGTCTATCTGCTGGGGATTTATCGAAGATGAAGCCTGAAAATGCTACAAAAGTGGCAGATTTGTATGAACAGAGAACACCTTACCAAACAGACAACAAAGTGTGAGGGCCTGGTATACCACTAGGATGCTACATACAAGTTGGAAACATTATAATCATTTATTTAGAGCCAAGATTTTCTGCAATGGAATTATTGAACATGTAACAGACAAATAGAAATGTGGCCAGACAGGAGGTGAAGTAACCTTGCACTCTAGGAGGTTATTCACATATGAATGGTGGTATAGATAGGAGAGTTCTAGAAACACAGGCCATGAAACGAAAGGCCAGCATTACCATAGTACAAAATAAATAGTGTGGTTAGCATGTTAGACACCTGAGAGACAGAATGTGGGGTGGCACCATTGCATCGGGTTGGTCATCCATAATATATCTCTTCTCATCCCTTAATTATTTCACTGGCTTGACTGTAAAGCCTGTTAAATAACATGCTCGATATAATATTTCTTGCAAATATTAAAGCAGTAAGGGAATTGGTAGTCATGTCTCTTACAGGTCACATCTTTTCTCACAAACATTTATGCTCATTTTATTTTTTAATTGTCTTCTAATTCTGTTGGTCTCAATGTTTAAATTTATGGCACATTGCAAAAGTGTCATATTTTGTTTGATCTTTCACTTTCTCTCATTTAGAAGCCAGGTTGAGGAACATTACAAAAAGTATGAGATAGTGTTTGGTCTATTAGCTGCTAATGTGTGCCATGGATGACACTATTCTAATTCAAAACATGCACAATAATGTTGTCTTTGAGATGTTGTCATGTGCATTTTGTCTGTTATTTCTAAAGTAGTTTATAAATCTGTTATCTGAGTATCGTGATCTGGAATGTAGTTAAAGGCTATGAAACGTTTCGCAAGTATGTGGACACTAGACAATCACCAATGATTTGTTTCATCGTTAAGGATATTATCAACTAAGGAACAAAAAGCATGACGTAAAAATGGCACTTTTTAAAAAGAAATCTAGCCATACATCCCAATGGTCGAAGTCATCTTTTTTTGAGGCTTCCAGCACAAAAGTAGTGGGGCGATGAAATAAAAGCACTTGGAAGCAGTGTAAATATAAATGTTATATTACATAACTACCTCTTTTGAAAAAGATGCTCCCTCTTGTAGACCTTGCAGCATTTGATACCACCTGTAAGGAACTTAAAGGCTAACTTCACACTTTGTCTGTTATGTACAAGATTATACAACCCTGTTCTATCAAAACCCACCACATGATATGCAATGGACAAGGTAACCCAAATGCAGGGCTGGCCTTAGAAGTGTGCGAGCTGTGCCACATGATATGCAATCGACAAGGTAACCCAAATGCAGGGCTGGCCTTAGAGGTGTGCGGCCGCACAGGGTGCCATGGAGCAAGGGGTGCCATGTGGCCGACACAGCTCACACATGGCCGGACGGGATTTAAAAAAAAATTTGCGGCGGGGGCAGAGCTTACCGGGCGACGAGGTGGAGCTTACCGGGCAACTGGGCGGAGCTTCCTGGGCGGCGGGGGCAGAGCTAAAAGTGCCAGATAACTGCTGCAGGGGAAGTAGGAAGGAGTCCCTGCTTCCCCAACAAACAGTCTCCAGGAGCTGCACTGCCTCCACAATGAACAGAGGTAACTATGTATGACTGCCTGTGTGTGTGTGTGTGTGTGTGTGTGTCTGTCTGTCTGTGTGTATGACTGCCTGCCTGTGTGTGTGTGTGACTGTCTGCCCCTGTGTATGTCTGTCTGCCTGTGTGTGTCTGTGTGTATGACTGTCTGCCTGTGTATGTGTGTGTGTTTGTCTGTGTGTATGACTGTCTGCCTGTGTGTATCTGTGTGTGTGACTGTCTGCCTGTGTGTGTGTGCGTGTGACTGTCTGCCTGTGTGTGTGACTGTCTGTGTGTGTGTGTGTGTGTGTGTGTGTGTGCTGTGTGTATGTCTGTCTGCCTGTGTGTGTCTGTTTGTATGACTGTCTGCCTGTGTGTGTGTGTGTCTGTGTGTATGACTGTCTGCCTGTGTGTGTGTGTGTGTGTGTGTGTATGACTGTCTACCTGTGTGTGTCTGTATGTATGACTGACTGTCTGCCTGTGTGTGTGTGTGACTGACTGTCTGCTTGTGTGTGTGTGGCTGTCTGCCTGTGTGTGTGGCTGTCGGCCTGTGTGTGTATGGCCGTCTGCCTCTGTGTTTTGTGGCTGCCTGCCTGTGTGTGTGGCTGTCTGCGTGTGTGTGTGTGACTGCATGTAGGTATGTGTGTGTAAGACTGTATATGTGGCTGTGTGTGTGTGCGTAAAACTGTATGTGTGGCTGTGTGTGTGTTGCTGTCTGTCTGTGTGTGTGTGTGTGTGTGTGGCTGTCTGCCTGTAATTGTGTTTATCTACCTATAACTGTGTATGTGTGTTACTCCCTGTATCTGTGTGTTTCTGCCTGATTCTGTGTATGTGACTATCTGCCTGCGACTATGTGCATGTGGTGGATTTGACAGTGTATATGTATAACTGTGCGCACATAACTCTGCAAAAATATACACCTGCATTAACAGAGACCTAAATGCATGTTTTTATCTGAATTAAATAACCATCACACACAGCCAATAAACCCAGCACAAATATCACATGCAACCAATACACGCATATCACACACTGTTAATACACCCATTACAAATATCACACACAGCCAACACATAGCATACATACCACACACAGTCATCACATCTATCACATACACAGGCAACACAAACATTACATCATACATGGATGACGGGGGGGAGGAGGGGCGCTGTGAAGATTTTTCACACAGGGCGCCTAAAGGTCTAAGGCTGGCCCTGCCCAAATGGCAGTTACAGATTGGTATAAATATGATATAGTACTTTCTAATGCCCTATATGTCTCCATGCAGGAGTGCAATCAGTGGCGTACATACCGGGGTGGCAGGGGTCGCGGCGGGGACCCGGCCGCCCCTGCGACCCGGTATGTACTCACTGGGCCAGCCTCTTCTCCCGGGGGGCCCAGGAGCCGGCCACCTCAGGGCCCCCCGAGGCTGGCCCTGCTGACACCCGGCAGACAGGCGGGCGCGCGCGAGAGCACTCTGCTCTGAGTGCTTCCTCTTCAGCTCCCTCGCGCACTGCACTGATACCGGAGCCGGAAGATGGGTTACCTTGTCCATTGCATATCATGTGGTGGGTTTTGATAGAACACGGTTGTATAATCTTGTACATAACAGACAAACTGTGAAGTTAGCCTTTAAGTTCCTTGCAGGTGGTATCAAATGCTGCAAGGTCTACAAGAGGGAGCATCTTTTTCAAAAGAGGTAGTTATGTAATGTAACATTTATATTTACACTGCTTCCAAGTGCTTTTATTTCATCGTCCCACTACTTTTGTGCTGGAAGCCTCAAAAAACGATGACTTCGACCATTGGGATGTATGGCTAGATTTCTTTTTAAAAAGTGCCATTTTTACGTCATGCTTTTTGTTCCTTAGTTGATAATATCTTTAACGATGAAACAAATCACTGGTGATTGTCTAGTGTCCACATACTTGCGAAACGTTTCATAGCCTTTAACTACATTCCAGATCACGATACTCAGATAACAGATTTATAAACTACTTCAGAAATAACAGACAAAATGCACATGACAACATCTCAAAGACAACATTATGTTTTGAATTAGAATAGTGTCATCCATGGCACACATTAGCAGCTAATGGACCAAACACTATCTCATACTCTTTGTAATGTTCCTCAACCTGGCTTCTAAATGAGAGAAAGTGAAAGATCAAACAAAATATGACACATTTGCAATGTGCCATAAATTTGAACATTGAGACCGGAGCTCTTCTGTGGGCACTGTCCGTAAGTGTGGATGTCCGCGCAGATGCGGCATGTAGTGGAACTTCTCCCTCTAGCTTACACCGATATTATAGCCTTGCCGCTGCGGACCCGGAGACCGCAGGTTGTCAATTGCTTTCCAGGCTTGGGACTCACGCCGGGATTCTGTCTCAGCTGGGTAGAGCTGCGGCGTCGTGGAGGTGAGAATCCTCTCCTGCCCCGGAGCTGTGTGAGAACTGGTGGTCGTAGGGTCCGCAGTGTGTAACATATGCCTTAGCAATATCTTCCATGGAGGCGAGCTATGGAAAGCCAGGTTGGTTTAACACTGAATGGAAGGACAGTGCAAGATGACTCCAGGCAGTATAGCCAATTGAATGGGATGGAATGGTTATAGTGTCTACAGTGTCCCTTTAAGTCATTACTAACAAACAATCTGCCAGTGAACCTGGAGCTTGCTCAAAAAGTTTAATTTCTGACTAATTTCAAATATCAACCCTTTACTATAATTAATCTATATTGGTTTAGCAGTGAAACGCCATTAGAATTATTCTTGAAGTTTCTAACACTTATTAGATTAAGACATTTTAGTATATCCATTTTTTAAGCAGTGGATAATGTTATTTAATATTAGACATGCTGGATTTCATTACGATTTTGGCTCTGTACCTACATGAATGGCAAAATTGGATAACCACCAAAATTTCATTGTTTGAAGAGGACTTTCAAGCAATTAAATTATATTTTAGCAGAAAATGTATTTACTTGACTTAGCATCAGTTCATGGCACTTCTGAACTGTATCGTAAACATGAACGTGGTTAGTTCTGGTAGCCATGGCAACATTACAACTTTGTTAAGATAAAATAATGAGAAACAATAGTCAATTATGAAACTTTTAACTTTGGAATAATTCTATTAAACTCTAACTCTATGTAAAAATATCTTGTTTTTAAAATTACAATGCCCTAGTAGTCATTATTAACAATCCCACACCCTTATATAAGTGTTCGTGTTGCTACGCAAAACAAAAAAAATATACAAAAAGGAGAGTAGTTACTTACTCCATTCCAATTAGACAGCTGAATGAACGTACATTGTTTTTTATAACCACACTCAATAAGGTATCCACTGAGATAAATAATGCACAGGCCTCCATGATATCCGATGATTTATTGTATATGTTAAGACACCTCTAGTGTCTTTGAGCCAAACCGCCGTTTAGTAGACCTTCCCCGGCTACAGTACAGTCTCCGTTCGCTTACTCTGTAACACACGAACCAAATGCAGGGGAAGCGGCAATCTCCCGAACGAGATCCGTGAACGGCTCCAACTCCCGAACGGCAATACACGAACTGCTGGTAACCGTCGAACAGCAATATTCACCAAGCGGCTTTCGTTCCATCCAGCAGTCTCTAAACGTGAAGAAGAAATCCCCCCAATAACGAGACAGAAGCTCCGCATTGAGGGTCAAACAGAATCTGGCTTTACTGTGGGCTACCTGCCCGTATTTATGCAGGTCTCCCACTTGGTGGACACTCCCCTAGGGGACCAAATGGGAGACTTAAATTACAGACAGATCTGGGGACATCCCAGACACACAGTCACAGATTTTACCCACAGTGCATTATGATTCCCTCCCCTCTGCCCTGGAGTTAATTACCAAGTAACTCAATTAACTCCAGGACAAAGCCAGTCGCCATCTTAGACATAAAATAATAAAAGACATAAAAATATATAACTACATAACAACTGAACATTTCCCATTCGTATTACATGTCCCCAGATAGCCTGGATCTGAGTGCATATTATTAGCGAATAGTGCTCAGATCCCACACACATAGTTCAATCGCCATGGAGTCAAAGTTCTTACAGTCTTTCGGTATACGAATGACTCCATGGGAAGGCTATCTGGGTTAAGTCTTTTCGTATGCTCTCAATCTCCCGAACGGCCGGTGTTCGCATGCTTTCGTGGAGGCAGCCAGGCGTTCCGTTGTTTCAGCGGTGTTCGGCAGAAAAAGTGTCCGTTTTCAGTTCCATAGAAATAGAGCCAAACACCGCTGGGCGTTCGCTTGATTTAAAATGGCCGCTGCCTCGTGGTCGACATACGAACGACGACCACCCTGAATTCGGTTTAATTGAGAAGTGTCTGCGGTTAACCACAACGTTCTAATTGGGATCACTTCGTTAACCAGCAGCACACTCCTCACTTGGGTGGCCGTTCGTTCGGCAGGTTTGTTCGGGAAAAAGAGTCATTCGAATGGCTGGGCTATAGAAACCAGCCATTCATACGAACGGGGGACAAACAGACGAACGTAGTAAGAATCCAGGCAGACAGATGGTTCTGTCACAGTATACATGGTTACTACCGTGACGCACAAATAGCTCAAATCCAGAACCTCCACGAGCCCTACGGCGTCAAGAGATGGGTGGACCTAGAACACACCATCTTTGGCAGAGACTTCCCGTCCCTTTATATTTGGCTACCAAAAGCAGCGAGACCCACACTTTCCCTCACCTCATCGGCAGTACTTACATTATATAGGACATGGGATAAAATAGCAGTCAAATGCAAACTTACGTCTGACCCCTCATCACTCACACCAATCCTGTGGAACTCAACCTACAGGTACCCACACAGGCCCAATCCCATGCCCGGCAAAATGAGACACTAGAGAAGCATATCACACCACAAAGGACCCTCAAACATGCGGAACAGACAAACCAGTCCACCAAACATAACGCAACATGAGAGGAAATGTGCCTAGAAAAGCACTACAGGCACAGCAACAGGCTTAAACTGTGTTCCCCCACTAACCTCACCTCTTTTTTCTGTTACCCCTCCCCTGTTACCTACACTCTAACATGCCACTATTCACATTGATAGCACGGGAACCCCCCTGCACCTGGCAAAACCAGACAGGTCCTCCTGTCAAAGGTGGCACAGGCCTGATGCGAATATGCTATTTGGGGCACGACGGACATCCCCACACACTGGGGAGATCCTGCAATGGACTGAGTAATAACAACCTGTTGTGCTTCACGTGAAACCAAATGTAACACTGCAAATTGTGCCTGTAACTGTTGATACCCCTTCTTTCTTTTGTACCCTCCCCGTTTATCAATGAGTAAAACAAAAAAAAAAAAGAGAAAAACAATATAAAGATTTAATAAAAAAAAAAAAAATTATATACATGGTAATAGTGCAAAGCACATTCATAAGTAAGGCAAAGACAGCATAAAAATACCACATAAGCACTCAAAGGGATGGCAGAAATGAAATGTAAAAAGAAAAAAAGCTACAGACCGTCTGGACTCAATATTAAACAGATTACTCTGAATGTACAGAGTTTTAAGAAGAAATACTGCACATATATAGACTCTTACCACCATGACCCCTTCTATTTGCAGAAGTAGTCATGGTGGTTGGAGAAAGCCTTCAAACATGCACATATATACAAATGCTGGTCATTGTCTAAACTCTATGCATTATTGAAAAATATAGGTCTGAAAACAGTAATAAAAAAGTTGCGGAAGGTGGGTGACCGCACAGACAGTGTGTCTGGTAGCTCAATAGATATGAAGGAGAACAACCAACAGTAAAGTTAGCATAACATAAGAGAAGTAACGATACATCATATGTGGATTGCCCCTAACCAAGAGGGTGCCGGGGTTGGGGAATACATCTCAATTCATGGGGTGAAGCATGGCTGTATTACCCTGAAATGCCATAGTGGTCTGGTCTGGGGTGTTCCAGTGTAAACACTTTGGAGTTTGTACAATGTGATAACTTAGAATTTTGCATAGCATGTAGTATTAAAAGAGATACAACTTAAAGAAAAAAAACTGTGGTAAAATAAAACTAGCATGCATCAAGAACATTTACCTGAGTGTAGGTGCCTAAGTTGTGGTTAGGCATGTAACAGGTACATTTGTGAAATGTAGTATATCACTCACCACCAGTGGACATGGCACTGGAAACCAGGATCTTTCAGCTCTTGGGACAAACGGAACGATGTTGGCTGGATCTCATGTCCCTGTAGTGGGCCTTGTGTTCCGGTTCTTGGTCAAGGACTACAGCCCCAGTGTTTACAGAAAGGTGGTTGCCTCCGCCATTGGGGTATGGGTAGTTTCTTTATGGTTTATTACTAGTTAGCCTGCGAATCCTCACCTGTAGGCTATGCCCTCGAATTGCAGTAGACTGGTGATTGGGCGAAAAGATTTACACCATTGTAATTTTCAATGGTCTTGGAAGAAGGAGAGAGGTGAGTCTCCAAAGGTCAGAGGCGTTTTACCTATCAGTGTTGTCATGTCAAGTACTTTGTCTTGAAATGTCAAGCATCGAAGGATAACATGACAGACCATAGTAGATGGTGTTTTAGTGGGGTCAGAAACCCAGTATACTCCATCTATGGATATCTTCTTGGCCATGGGGTGAGGAAAAATGGTCGCTAATAGGCACCATATGTAGTAAGGAAGTTCATGGCAGTGGGGATACCCCTGTTCTTGATATCGATTCTGCGCTGGGGATTCTCCTCGGCTGTTAGGAACTTTTAGGGTTCTGTGGTGGGTCTAAACCTGCTGTACAGAGTCTTGAAGGGTAGTCAGATTAGTCTGTACCTCAATAATGTCCTCTTCCGAGGCCCTCACTTGATCTGTTAGAGCTTGCATCTCGTTTTGATGAGACACACATCCGCTGCCTGCAATTTGCGCATATCTGCCAGCAGGACCTTTAGATTGAGTTTGATCCTTGGTGCTGAGTCATCGGAGGGCTCAGGAGAAAGGTGCTGTGGCATGAGGTAAGAACTCTGACTCCTGCAGCTCTGCTCTAGAGGCTTGGGTTGTGGCCTGCAGGTCTTCTGCAGGAGTGGATCTGGGCTGTAGAGGCCTTTGTAGCATGGCCCGATGTCTCTGCCCACTGTTGTAGCTTTCTGCCAGCAGTGGATCATTGCTGGGATGTAGGCTGGTGCTGCCATTGTCGTGGAGGGTGCAGAAATCCCAGCTTTAATTACGGAGTATCAACCAGGGAGTGTGTCCATGCCTATTAGTGGTGGCGTGGTATATGCCTTGATCTTGCATCACCATTTCGGCTAGCTCGGAGTGAGAAAAAAGGCATCAAATGATGCAAGGTGCCTAGTATAGTCAGGTGAGCAGTGTGGCAAGGTTAGATATTGGCAAGATTGAATGAATACCAGAGGAGCTCCTAGAAATGGCATCTGCTCTGTCAAGACTGTTTTCTCTTTCATGGCTTAATGTTCTTAATGTTCTA